TGGCAGTTAAAAGGAAGAAACAGCTGCGATCACACACACTACTCCCAGAAGCACGAAGCTGAAGACACCAGCCTGAAGATGACGAATGTGACTTCGTCGAAACGTCGCCAGGACACTTCCAATTCTACACGGGAGAAAACCCGAATGACCAAAGACCTACATACAAACACCCGTGAAAACCTCAGAAAACATATATATATATATATATATATATATATATATATATATATATATATATATATATATATGTGTGTGTGTGTGTGTGTGTGTGTGTGTGTGTGTGTGTGTGTGTGTGTGTGTGTGTGTGTCAGTACTAGCAAGTCTGTTAAAAATGAATATTGAGATAAATATCAAAATATCTTTAAGCTTCCATCTTTCAGGGAAATATAAAAGTGTACAAGTGCAAAACTCTGTCACTGCTATTATCCTGCTGCAGAGATTATCTACCCTGGGTCCAAGTGGTTTTGGACTGTGGCTTCCATAATCCATAACTGGCATGACCAAATATGACAAGAACATCAACCCTAAATTCAAAAAACTAAAATCCACACATTCAAAATTTTGCCAATTAAAAACAAAATGAAACAAAAACAGACTCCTAGCAGATTTGGACATGGTCTTTCATCTGGTGATAAATGTGCTTTCTGTGAAAACTAGGCCTGAGCTCTGTATGCTACTGGAAAATGAGACCATTTTTGAAATGGAAGACACTGAGTCCCATCCACCTCTTCTGCCCTATCAGAAGGTAATATTTGCTTTCTTGTTTAATTGTCTCTCATATGAAAATTTAGTTAGGGATAGCTTGTTCACTATGGAATACAATATTTAGGTTTTAAAACAGTATAGAACATTGTGATCTATACACTGTGAAGATACACTGCATCTTCCTTCCTTCCTTCCTTCCTTCCTTCCTTCCTTCCTTCCTTCCTTCCTTCCTTCCTTCCTTCCTTCCTTCCTTCCTTCCTTCCTCATTACTCTACTCCAGTGAGACATTACACATTACATTTACAAAGTCCTGATTTGGCACATAACCATATATCTACAATAGGAACCTGCAGCTGTGTTTTATCAAAGCCATTTTTAATTAATAAAATAATAGGATAGAGCTTCAGTATGCCTCAAGCTCTACATAGAAAAATTTAGTTCCTGATCTCACAAGAAGCTTAAGGACTATTTATATAGATCTGTGTAGTTCAATTATAGTAATTATCTACTACTGCCATTAACATTACTAAAGCCATACTGACATCTGCCCTCAAAAGTCTTGTCAATGCTTGAAAAGTATAAACAAGAAACCAACCAGTTTACCTACCTTTCTGCACACTGTTTCTCTTTTTACTTCTTAAAAACTGTGTTTTGCTGAACGAAATACATTTTGTATTCTAGCATAGTTACTTTAATAAAGAATAAATAGCTCCCCAACTTGCAAAAATGGTATTCTTCTTGAAGCAAGCTTCCTTATTTCTTTCTTTAGTATATGATTGTTTGATTACCAAATTCTTGCTCCAAAAATATTACATCTGTGTACTAAATTATTTGATGAATGGCACTTATTCATCAATAGTGGATTGATTTATTCACTAATAATGAAATGGTTTATTCCGTGATTTTGCTACTTTTATTTATTATTTATTGCTATAATAAACTTGTTTCAGAATATTGCTGTATTTGTGAAGCCTTATAAATTACAACAATTGCAAAACAATATATATATAAATATATAAATTATTGGCTTGTATTCTCTCCTAGAATTTAAGCAGGTCTTGATTTTCTGGAGTTTGCAATTTTATTAATATTATGTAATAAAGTTTCTAATATATCTTATTTTTTTTTAAAAAGCACTTGTTTCTTTTTTAAAAATAGTTGCATAGGAAGATGATTTTCAGAGGGAAAAAGTGCAAGTAAATGTTGAATATTGTACAAGGATTTTGCATCATAGAATGAAAAAAACTGCATGCATTCTTCAGTGCTCCAGAGTCTTATTTTTCTTGCTATAAAGCCAACCTGTTTGCATTGTTCCACACAGTTGGAGTGTTTATGTGCTATATACAGTAATTACACTGTATTATTCGAGTAATTATACTGTATATTCCAGATCAGAACTGAAAAATTACCCAATCAGCAGTGGGTGACTGCTATGTTGGCTTACTATACTACAGACCCTCGGTATCAGCAACTCTTCATCAATCTGGTAAGAGTAAAAGCAATTCTAAAAGCACACATTTCCTTTGCATACAATGTGTTTGTTATATCTTCTCTTCTGTTTATGACGGCTGTGTCAGTTACACTGATTTACATAAACACTGCCAATCCTGGGACGATATACTCTCAACAAAAGTAACTGAGTACAAACAGCATTCCTGAGTTTTAATTCATATTATATAAACATAACAGATGTTGATACAATGAGCCAACAAAAGGAAAAGAAGGAAAGAAGAAAACAACCATTGCATGTGGGCCAGCAATTAAAATGTTCCAGATTATCCAAAAGATGCAATGTTAATAGAACATATCCTTTAAAACTCAATATTTGATTTCTATGCAACCACGAAGACCTAGTATTCTGCACCAATTTTTTTCAGTTTCTTTAACCATATTTCTAGTAATATAGGAATGAAAATCAGGGGGCTGATAAATAAATAAAAGAAGAAGAATCACGCCAGTTTGCCTACCCCTCTGCAAAATGTGCTACTTCTTTAAATGTAATTTTTATTGAAGGAATTTTTGACAAGATAAAAACAGTACAAATACTAGAAAAGAAAGAAAGAAAACAAGAAAGAATGATGAATAAATTAAGAAAAAAATTGAAATAGAAAAGAAAAAAAATCCCTGAAAAAGAAGTGGCTTCTGATCTTTTTTGATTGTGGTTGTAAATGCATTTATATTTTACCCTCTCTGTCTAAAGTCACATCATAATTACCTTCTTTCCATAAACTATTTTTTTCCAATCCTCAAATCCACAAATCACAAGATCATTTTTCTCTTTTGTTTCAACATAAAGTCCATAAGGGTTTCCACTTACTGATAAATGTAGTTATTGATCTTTCTCTATCAAACAACTTTTTTTTTTCCATCTTCCAATTGGCATGTATTTTTCATGGTTGCAACATCCTGGGATCAAATGATCGCCATCTGCAGTCTTCCCAATCTTGACAAACAGTCAGTTGGAGAAGCAAGATTGACTTAATGACCACATGATTTTTCTAAGCAGTCTCAGTGATTCGTTTAACAACTGTGGTCAAAAATGATCATAAAATTGTGTACGACTCACTTAATAACCACCTTGTTTAGCAACTGAAATTCTGGTCCCAGTTTTGGTTGTAATTGTTTTTATCACTTTAAATTACCAATGAGATGTTGTTGTCATTTTTTTTAAAAAAAAGTTTCAATCTTTTTCTCTTAATCTGTTCTTTATCTTTCAGGATCCATATGTAAACAAATCAGCAGTATCAGTTCAAGCTCATTTCTCACTGCAACGCACATACATCATATTTCGGTCTCTGGGTCTTCGTCATTTAACAGTAGTTGATTTGCAAAATAAAGTTGTTGGCATGATCACTAGGAAAGACCTGATATCCTTTCAACTAGAAAAGAAACTGGGATCCCAGAAAGCATCACCCCAACCTCACTCAGATGATGAGCTTTTAGACTAGGAAATACCTCAAATGAAGATTGAACTAATAATCAAACATTATTGTATTCTTTTTTTGGTGATAGTGGTGGTGAAAGTAGACTTAACATTTTTTCATAATGAATGAAAGAAATATATAAATTGTTTATATTTGAAGATCTTAAATTGTACTTTTTCAGCTCAAATTATACGGTACATGGCTAATGCTCAATTCCCATTGTGACTGTTTTACAACAAATGAAAGGAAGAATGATTTTTTTGAATTCATAATCTATGTTAATCACATACTTGTGAATCTAAGATAGCACATATTATTATTCTATACCAGGAGAGCCTGAAGTTATATGAAGCGAATGTAGCCAGAGACTAGTGAGAACTCTTATATTGCCTTCTATGAATGAAAAGAATTAATATATATATAATATATATATAAACCTGGAATGGCAGGAGAAAATATATAAAAATTTTCCCTTGGATTATTGACATACCTAGGCTCTGATTGCTATATACTGCAGTAGGCAGATCTTATACAATAATTGGTTTCATTCTTGTCTTCAATAAAGTATCTTCATTAGCTGAGTTGTGTCCAAGATTCTACCATAGACTAAACTGTTAAATGGTGAAAAAAAAAGCTTTGAAATCTGGAGAGCCAAGGGTTGTTGTTATTTTGAGCTGAAAGATTATATTAGGACTGTATAAAGCTTCTAAAAGTGTTTGGTGAAGTCTACCTGGTACATCAGAAGGTTATCACAAAATTGTAATGCTTTAATATGATAGAGAAGAAACCAATTAAACACAGGGAACTAATCATGTATGCTGTATACATTTCTTTTATTTAAACTAAATTGTCATTAAATTTTTGTTTTGGTCTACCATTATTTTTAATATGGTCTTCACAAGCCTTTAGATACTAAATATATTCCTTAGCTTAAAAATGTTATGTATCACTGATGTAAAAAATTCAGAAAATCAGCATTGCTATAATATGTCACAATATATATGAAGAAAATTGGAAAACAATCCAAGATGAGTTTGGGAAAGAATGGAGCAAAAGATTATCATCATGTTGGCTTAGGGAAGAAATCAGTAATTTTTACTTATTGAAAAATGAAATACTTTCCCCAAATACTGCAAATTAAGTTATTTTTAAAAAACATATTGGTACGTAGATCATAAAACAATTTTAAAAATACATACATTATACATACATACATACATACATACATACATACATACATATCCTGAATGTAAATAGCACAATTTGATTAATCACTGCTAGTGAGATGAATGTATTAACATAGCAAACTGATGCTAGCCAATGACATTTTATAGCAAATAAATTGTATAAGATCTAATATTTTTGATATAAACTGACATTCTTTATATTACATTTTTGGGATAGTAATGATGAAAAAATAATTGGTAAAATGATTGATCCAATGCTGAAAATAATGATCAAGAATTGACTGGGAAGTGGACTTTTTATGACATGGAAGTGAAAGCTGAAAAAAACAAGACAGAAAGAGTATTGACAATTTTGAACTTTGGATAGCCAAGAATACAAACAATTGGATCATAGAACAAAGTAGTTTAAACTTGCAAGAATATTATGACTAGCCAAGAAAGAGTCCTGAGAATACCATGGTTGGCCATCTAGGAAAACAAACAAATGGATCAAATTAATGCAGAGTTCTGAGGCACAAAGATCAAATTATCACATTTTGGACACATTAAATGAAAATCCATCTCCCTTGAGAAGTGGGAGGAAAAGTGGAAGGAAAGAGAAAAGGATGATTAGTAGCAAGATTACAGCAACAATAGGTACAACATTGGAAGAATTAAAGGCCAGATTGGGAACGTAACAATCTGGAAAAGATCTGTCTACAAGATCACTAAGAGTCAAGCACTGATTTGTTGGCACATAATCAACCAATATTTTCTTCTGGCATATTTGTGAAGATATTTTACTTTTTATTAAAAATAACCCTAATATCCAAGCTCATTATTTTTTGTAGAAATTATTCTTAAAATTATTTGGAAGAGGAATAGTTTGAAAAATCCTTGCTCCAAGATTGCTTAGTATGTGAAAAACTAATTTCATGGTTCTTAAAATCTCAGCCAATACACTGGAAGTTTACATAAGAACAAAATCTAAAAATTTTCCACATGTACTTTCAAAAAGGACTTTAATTGAATAGAGGATTTTTTTCCTTAAAGAGAGTTCTCAAAAAAGTTAATATAATCAAAGGTGGTTATTAGATAATTAGATTAATGATCTAAAAGCTACTTTTTAAATTATACTTAGTAATTATATTATAGATTATTATCTGCTTCAGAGATATACTGTGCAATGTATGAAGAGAAAATTGTACTTTTCTCTCACAATGGTTGGATCAAAAATAATTAGAATACAATAGGCTCATTCAATTCAGGAGGCTTTATATTAGGTCATGCATTTACACTAGTTCATAGTTTAATAAGACGTTACCCATTTCTACTTCCTGAATGTATATGTGAATCAGAATTTAGTTATATGCCAAAATGCACTTCTGATTTTTTGTGATATAGCTTAGTGTTACAGTGTTTAAAAGTATATACAATATGTATATTAGGCAAAATGTATAGCGTAATGACTTTGGAGTAATGTCTTTTGTTGAAGATCACAATAAAATTGATCTTCAGTGAAATTTGTTGAAACCAGTTTTCTTTAATCATACAATATATTCTACTACAGAAAGATGCTCTTCTGAACTGCAACCATTGCAGTGACCCATGACTCTAACTATATAAATTACTCAGGTCCAAAGGCACTTCCTTTTCTCCCTTAGTCATGGAGCTCTATCTAGCAAGTCACAGATATCCTGTTTTATTTCTTGGCACCTCAAAACATCCACCATTTACTCATTTCTATTTTCCTTACTTTAACCAGCCCCAACCTGTGGATTTACTTAGCTTATTTAACAGTATCCCATTCTAGAGGCCCATTGCCCCGGTGATCTGTCATAGAGCAAATATTGAAGAAAGCTATTGAGCAACTCAAAGAAGAAAAGAAAACTTTATTTGGTCCTACATATGAACAGAAGTTGAGGTGAGGCTGAAGAAGCCAATTTCGTTTGGCCAATTAGATGCGTCCATTGCAGAGGGAGTCCCAGCCACCCTCGCCACGCAGTCTGTCCAACTCACCATAGGGGACCACGTAGAGACTCTAATGTTTTTTTTATAATATATTTTATTGATTTTTTAACATAGTCACCTTAATATTTGGTAAACAGTGTGTTGTCTGGGTTTACATTTAAAAAACATTCATTAACAGTTAGTTTCCATGATCTATAATCCACATAATAGCTTTACTTGATTTCCTCTTTTTCCCATAATGTTCTCTTTAGCCAACCTTAAGTTAATATAATTCTTGTTGTTTTGATAGATAACAATTGGGTATAAAATTTTTTCTAATATTTCTACAGATAATAATCACATTAATATAATATTTCTTTTCTATCCAGTCATTCTGGTTGCCTCATCATAGATCCTATTTACAGTTCTTGTTACATTTGTTTTTGCCACAATGTTCAAGACATTGTTACTGGTTAAGGTTTTCTCATAGTTAATTACTAAATATTTAAATATAATTTCTAAATATTTAAGTCTATTTTTCTCATATAAGCCATCCCAATACTTTTACATTTCTTAAGGAATAAATAAGACTAAAAAAAGAAGAATAAGAATAAAGAAAAATAAAAAGATAGTATGCTACTTAAAATACATGTTCCTCCTAAGCTAATATATATTTCCAAAAATTTTCCGTTCTTTTTTACCATAATTAAAAATATGTTTAACCTTTAAATATTCCATTTAATAAATCTAGTCATCTAGTCTTTTAACTCTTATTCAAGACATTTTTATCCATTCTAGTTTTCTTAAAGTCAATCACATTTAAATATCTAAAATATTTCCTTTATATAAGCCATTCCAACTTTTTTATATTACTCATATCAAGAAATAAAATAAGAAGAGAAAAGAAAAAGAGAATACTATGTTACTTGAGGAGCTCATCCCTCTTAAAATAAAATTCATATCCACATTCTTTCTATTTCTTTAACCATATTCAAACAGGTGTTCCTTTTTAAAATATTCTTTCTGATAAGTCCCATCATCTATTTTCTTAATTTTCACTTTAGCCTTTTTCTTTTGCCCAGTATCTTTCTTAATCAATATGTTCTGCTGAATCAAATAATCTTTCCATATTCTTGTGTTACTCTAGTTATAAAAGGTAAGTCAAGTTCAATATCTTTGTGAGAGGCATTTGCCCTTACATATTTGTTGAAAATCTTTTTCTTTCTTTTTCTCTCTGTTTCTCTTATCATTTCTTGTCTCTCCAGTTCTCATGGTGTTCCTGACAACTCTGCAGTCCATTTCGTCCAATTTTTTTTCTTGTCCTCAAATTTGTTTTATGGTCTTAAAGTATAAATTGTCTTTTCCAAATCCAATATTCACAAGAAAGTGGGGCAGTGGCAAATGATGGAGGGCTGAAAGGGGAGGGGGTCTTTCTTTATTCTTTATTCCTGCGGGTTCTGCCATACTCCTGGGGGAGGGAGAAGTCATAGGTGTTACAATATATCCTCTTTATTTCACTATAGCTGCTACAATGTATCCTCTTCATTTCTCTCTATCTGCTTGCTCTTTGAACTATGTCCCTTGATGCCAGCCTGGGGTGAGAAAGGAACGTGCCTCTGGCCATCTGGCTTATCTCTTGCTGTGGAAGAAAAGGGGCAAAGACCTAATGGCCTAACAATCTTGGGAATGGCATCTTATCATCCCCATTCCCACAGCGAATTCACACCTGGAGATTGACTCGTTTGAACTGACTGGATGGATTATTGGGGTGGAATTTGCTAGTTGCTCTTTTAAGATCCTGCCTTCTAAGATCCTGCCTTCTATGCCTGCTGTCAACTTCTCCTAATAAAAGTTCCTTTTGGAATGAAGCCATTCCAAGAGTTCTGCTTTCTTGGGAAGAGGTGGGTC